AAAATACCAAAGACTAGTTTGGGCTGAATTGAAATATATCTTTGGAAAAGTGTTTTAAACTTGGGTAAATTATTATTGGTGGTTAGCTTGATAGAGGATATCTCAGTGCTCCAAATACGCGGTGTATTGGCTTGATCCACTAAGCTTAGAAGGCCAATATAATGTTTAGGCTTTTGTTTTGAAGATATATTTTTGGATGTATATTTAGTTCCTTGTTTATCATAGCTAACATGATACTGTGAGAAGAATGAGAAGAAAATTGATCACCTTTATGAGCTACTAAATGAGTGAAAAACTTGTAGAAAGTTTCCTGCCAGGTTAGGACTGGATGAGAAATGAAATCAAATTCAATGAAACTAGCATTTTCCATCACCATCAAGCTTTATTAGCTTAGCCTTGGAGAATAGTTGCAATGGCTCGTTGTTAAGCTCAAACTCTCCTTCCTTTGAGGGCCTTGTAACTACACTTACATGAAGTGGTTGTGAGTCCCCTTGAGCAGGCGTGGACTGTTTCTTACCTAGTGGCCACAACTAGGTAAGAAAGCATTTTCTTACTATGTTATCCCAGGCGACGACATATGCTTTTGAATTGAGGATTTAGAATGTGAGTTGTTATAGCCATTAGGAAGACTATGCATCAAGGAGATGATGGAATGTAATGAAAATGGGTTCATGACTAGCTCTAGGCCCAACTCTAAGGAGATGATGGAATGTAATGAAAATGGGTTCATGGGTTCATGACTAGCTCTAGGCCCAACTCCTCTTCCAGTTCAAGACCCAGGTCTCCTTTCATAAAGGCGGTATGAATCTATTTAAAGAGTCTGAGAGAGGCCTCCTTGCAGACGACGAAGAAGTGCAAATCACTCAACCAAAACACCCTGAGAGATTCCCTTATTTAAACAATATTTAGTGGTCATTTAAGTGTCTTAATAATGAGAATTGAGTGATCTTAGACTTGTTGAATTCATCTCATTAAGATGCTCGATTCGACTACAAGCTCATTAGTTTTGAATTCATATGACATTCCCATTAGCCTCGAAAGTATCTAAATGCCGTTTAACAATTTGATTCATGCTTGATTTGACTTGAATTCAACTAATTTTGGTGTCATTATGTATATCTCGTCCAGTCGGCCAGTTTGACTACAAGTTTGTTGAACTAAGAGTTCTAGATAATTTTTATTTGGAGTTTTAACTTTTCTTGCTTAAAAATTATTCCGAGAATCATGCTTGTCACTGGGATTCAAGCCAAATGACATTTTATTGATGACATATCAAAAATAAAAACAATGGATTTACACATATGCCATGTAATTCTTATTTTTTTTCCTCTTTAACATCAAAATTTTAATATTTATAAACAAAACTCTAAAAAATTCAACATCGATAACTTATCATTGCTTTTAATTTCCTTAAAGTGAACACACCTAAAATGCTAAATTAATAAATCTTAAAATATAGTTGTCAAATGTATAAACATATAAAAAATATAAGAATTATATGGAAATCAACGATAAAATTTCCCTTTTAAAAACCCAAAACCACATTGTTAAATCATCTTTCAGGCTAAGGGCCCGTTTGGGATAGCTTAAAACTGCGGGCGGCGTATTTAAAACGCCGCCCTAGTGTTTGGATTGCACGTGATATTTAAAACGCCGCCCTAGTGTTTGGATTGCACGTGAATCTAAAAACTGCGTTTTAATTTTGTGAAGCACGCGGCCCGTGGGGGTCCACGGGCCACGTTTTTGATCGCTTATTTCCTTAGGTGGTCTTCTCCCTCGCTCGCAAGAGACAACTGCCATCCTCTGCATCGCTCAAGTCCCGCTATCACATCATCCCTTCCTCGCCGTTGTATCACGGCCTGACGCTTCTTCCTTCACTCCCCTCATCTTTTCTCCGTCGACCTCATCGTCGATGCCTCCCAGAACTTCCTCTTCATCAATCTCTGCACCCCCAATGGCCAATCTCGCTAGTATCTCCACGATCACCTCCGCCGGAATCATTCCCCTTCTCTTACCTCCATAAACCACTGGAGATCAGCTGCAGAAGCATCGTTCAGGGGACAAGCCCTCGGCCGCCTCTACGTTGATGTTAGGCATTAGCTGCTGAAGAAATATTCGATTTCTTCCTCACTAGAAGTTTTCTTTCCTTCTCACCTACAAACTCATTGCCACTGTTCTTTACCCACAACTTTTCTTTCCATAGCTGTGAACGTTAATGGGAAAGGCTTTGAAAGATAAAAGGGTAAGATTTCTTGAATTGATCCTCTATATATCTGTTTTCTTTCATCTTTGTTTGACCTCTTATGGGTTTTATCTTCACATTCCTGAGTTTGTATGTAACGTGGTTTGGTTTTAGGATATCTACTACCGGAAGGAAAAGGAGGAGGTTTGGGGAGTGCGCAGTGCATTCAAGCTTCTCCAGATTGCTAATGAGTTCAGTATCTTTGAAGGTTATTATTTTTATCAAGTTTAATGTTACTTTTAGAAAAGTATTTTAATGTATGTAAAGTTTGCTTGATGCTGGTGACAACTTGTGATCCAAAGGCTGATGACAACGCTTGTTCAGGACAAATTTGTTTGTTTTCATGTTTTTTTTATGCTACATGAATCTGTGGTATGTGAAATGAAAAAGTTTACCGATAGCTGGTTTGAGTGTAGAATAAATGAAAATATTGAGTTAAAATTGTGACAAAGTTTGAAATGACGGTGTCAGAAAGTATTGTATTATAGAAACAATTGGATATTAAATATAAAGTAGAATGGGTAGAATTAAGTGATTTGGGCATTTAAAAAGGCTAGAACAAACAAAAATGATGGATGTATGATATAAGCGTGAAAAAAATGAGAAAGAAATTGATAGTCCAATGCTAGCATAGCTTGAAAATAAAAAGGAATCATGTTGATTTTTTTCTTTGGACAGTTGAATTAGGGATGGTTGGCTTGATTTCAACAAATTTGGTTTGTCTTGGATTGTAAACTTGCTCGGCAGTGGCTTATGGATTGTAAACTTGCTTGGTTTGGCTTGATTTCAACAAAGTTTTGATTACTATACGAGTATGTTGTCCATGTTGGCCTTTCAATTCAAATTAACAGTTCCTAACCTTTGCGTGCTATATGATCTGTTGTTTAAGCACCCATTATATCCTTACTGTAAATGGATTGGGTGGCATTACATATTCAATCTTTGATACAAATGTCTTTCCTGTGTCTACTTCGGGGGGTGTTTTGCTTCGTTTGATATTGCATGTAAGTGATATTTGGGCCTCCATTGCAATGTGTAAGCAGAAGAAAAAATCTATTTGAAGTGATCAGAAAAATTTTAATGATATAAATGTAACTCAACTCTTTTGTATTTTCATGTCTTAACATTTGAACTTTACAAACTTGTCGCATTCCATATAAATCAATGTTATGTTGGAATTTTTGGGTGGTCAGTATGTGTCGAATGAGTCTGAAGAAGGTTAATTGATTCTAAAATATCTAATATGTATACATTGTCGTTTTGTTAAGAAAAGTACAACTTCTGCGTGAGAGATTGTTTATTTAACTAAGAAAATCTGCAAATCAACTGTTTACAAAACGCACAAATCAAACAGCTAAACAGGGGCAGAATTGTTATTTATCCAGAATCAGCTGTTTTCCAAACACACAAACCAAACAACCATCCAACTTATTCAGATCAGCTGCTCATCAACAGATTATCAGGATAAATTGCTTATCAACATAAGTTGGATAAGCTGCAGCTGCCCCAAAAAGACCCTAAGGCTTTGTTTGAAAAGGTCGTGTTCAGTTAGAACGAACGTCGAAATTTATAAAAAATTTTATTTAGATTACAGAAGAAGAATGTTTCTTAAAGTTTTTTCATAAGAACATGACACCTAAAATTTTTTTGATGAATAATACAATTATTCCAAAAAAAAAGAAGCCTAAATCTCAATATAATTGCCCTCCAAATATTGTTTTCGTAGTCTAAACGTAAGCAACATCAGGACAACAGATGCGACTCTCACTCGCCGACAAAAAATTATTCCGTGCGGACACCGTGAGCAGAGATGCATGCGGTGTCTGATCTTCACCGTCGAACCGTCAATCACCGCTTCGATGGGATTAAAAAAAAAATGAAAGTGGGTTCCACCGAAGCGGTGATCGACGGTGGAGATCAAACACAATATGCATCTTTGTACGCAGTGTCCACACGGAATAACTTTTCCTCGCCGATGTATCACATTTGTCATCCAGACATCACAATAACATATGAGTAGCATCGAGGGAATATTCCCCGTGTTACTGTGCCGTTTTTTTCTTTCTGTCGCGTGGGGTGTCATGGCGTGATTTCATTGACTACGCACATTACTCTACGTGCGTGATACTTGTAATATTTTTCCGGCGCCACGACACCATCAGCATAATACAAGTCACAAATCTCCTGCTTAAAAAGAAGGTTTTAAATAACTTTATGTTTAGAAGAAGGTAAAATTAGCTGATGATATACTATCTTATTATTAATGACATAATAATTCAAATGCTAAAAAATAATTAACTCCTGAGACACTGATTTAATTTAATTTTTTGTCTGCTTTACATTTTAAATTATCATTACAGTTTTATTTGTGGATATAGTTCATAAAAAAAAATTATACTGAAATAGGGGTGTAAATGAACCGAACGCGATCAAACAATAACAATTTAAACATGAACGAATCACTGTTCGTCTTTAGTTCGTTTAACTAACCGAATGAAAAAAAATTATTCACGTTCGTCCCGTTTAATTATCGAACGAATCGAACAAGAACTCATTGAAGAACCGAACACGTATTGTTCGCGAACAACGAGTTTTTTTTGACAGCCCTACCTTTAGTTCGCGAACAACGAGTTTTTTTGACAGCCCTACCTTTGATAGCTTAAATACATACATACATGAAGCCGTAATCCGCCGAAAAGTCTCCCGACTCTCTCATCTTTGGAGTTTGACGCCAAACGTGGGCGCCACGTCATCTCCGATCAACGAATGCTCTAATTTTCCAAACGTACCACTACAAGTTGTTATCCCTTTCCGTTTCCAAGTTTTAGAAGCCGCGCGTCTCTTGAAGTCCCAGGAAGCTTCCCCACTCTCCCGAGAGAGCTCCTTGCCGTTCTTGGGTTCTCCTCCTCCTTCCCATGAACTCCCTTCTTCTCCCTCCCACCTTGGCTGTTCTAAGCCGATAGAGATGGCGGAAGAGGAGAATAGGGTAAGGGTGGGGGGGCCCAGGAGCGTGCTCCACGGGATCGAGGAGTCCACCCCGGTCGCGATCAAGGAGCTCCTCGCTGGCGGGGTCGCTGGAGGCGTTGCCAAGACCGCCGTTGCTCCGTTCGAGCGCGTCAAGATCCTGTTTCAGGTACCTTGAGAGATTGTTACAATCTTTTCTTTAAAGTTTTGAAGTCATCGATTAATCACAGGTTGGTGAGATGGGGAATTGAGTTGCAATCCGGGGGAGCTGGGTGGTTGTTTGGGATGATTGTCAGTTCTGGGAACTCGGATATGTTTTGGATCTATGGTTTAGGATTTGATCGGTTTCTGATGCAATTTCATTTTCATGCTTCTCATATTCTGTTGATGGTTCTGGTTCTCTTTTTTCTAGCTTCTATGGTTTGAACTTGGAAGATGAATGGTGATTTTTGAGCGATTCGGACACTATTTACTTACATTTAGCAGCTTGGATAAATTTTATATTTGTCTCTTAAATTTTGATCCAGTGAAAATTGGACTTAAGTTTGCATTCTTGCTTTATGAACTTGATCCTGAATTCCTTTTGTACATATACCATTATCAAATCATACATTGATGCCTTAATAACTTACTATTATCGTCCCTTTCTATGCAATTATCAAATAAAGTGTCGCCACTGTCACCGATTGCCTACTGGCATTGTTGTATTCTTTCCAAACCCAAGCCAGAGGTCTCGTATGACAATGTTTGGTGGTATTAATGGCATAAGGTCTTATGGAATGATGTAATTTGGTCATGCAGCTTCAAGTTAATGGTTTGATTCTGATGTACTGCAAGGAAAATGAACCATAAAAAAATTCAGGGGACTCAAAGGTAAAGAACTATTGACCTAAAGTTGAGAAACCTCTATGTAATTGACCTAATCTGTTCATGATTATAATGCAAGAGGAACTCACCATGATTAATTACTCTCATTTTCAAGCAATAATAGGATTGATATTTAATGAACTAGCAGTGGGAGAAATTGTCAGGAGTAGGATAGAATCCATGCCCATGATTATGCATTTTTAGTTCAGCCAAATGTCTTTGCATGTTGTTGATAAATCTGCAGGTACTATTTTTAGTTTGTATGGTGTGCTTCGCATGAACTAACTGGTGTGTAACTGGTTGTGTTGCTCTAAGTTTTCACGTCAAGGTACTCTTCTGTCTTTCTTTTCTAATATTATCCACCGTTACTATTTCACCAAATGCTGCAATATAAGGTGATTAGGTCCTTTTTAATCAATGGAAGGACCAATTTTTGAGGGCAAGCATTAACATTTGACAAATGACCGAAGCAAGCTGTGACCTTATGATGCCTGATTGTTTTTGATGCCTGATTGTTTTTGATTAAAATATTTGTAATGCAAAACAAAATGATCACACTTTGTCCCTAAAGAGTAAATAACCATCCTTGTTAAAGTTTTTTGTGATTTCCATTTTATGGCAGAAAAAAAATCTCTATGGACAAATAGAACTACATATATAAATAATCATAATCATAATAATAGTAATAATAATAATAATAATAATAAACTGCTAGATAACACAGATGTTCCCATCTTATTCTATCACAGCATTATATGATTCATATATTGTATAGCTTAAGCAAATAAATTTTTTTTTATTCAATAAGTTATTATGAAATAATTTTTACATCATCAAGGTTTGAGATTCAAGACCATTAAATAAAAAAAACCATAAAATTTTTTTCAAAGAAAATATTTTCATTTTTTTTTTTGACAGTTTTAAAATTTTATAAGGCTTATATGATTTATTCACAGTTTTGAAAATAATATCTCAAACTAAATTGAAATATAAAATGAGAAACTAACAGGAACAAACCCCCAAGAATTTAAAATTAAATTATTTTTGAAACATTGATTAGCATAAATTTCTTATATGATTTGTAACTCATAAAAAACAATTAAGAAAATGATTTTTATTTTCCTAAAATAGAGTCTACCTATCTATGCCCCATTCAACTTGCAATTTCTATGTATTTTGTATATTAGGGGTTTATTCAGACAAACAAAATTCATCATTACTATCAAAAGAAAGTGCTCTCCTTCTTTCTAGTCCCTTTCATTTCTCTTAGTATAAGGTTTACACATAGGAATTCATGCATGATTGAGACTCAATATGCATTATTGAGAAAGTGTTGTTAAAGGCAAGTTGGGTAATCGCATAGGCCCTCGAGGGCAATGAATGGATATAGCACATACACGCCTTTTATTGGGCTTCATGCAAGTGTAGGAGTGTTTGTAAGGTGTCGGGCAGTAAGGCATTCACCTTTCCTTTATTAAAGAGATGAATACTAATACTTTAAATATAAAAATGAGTTTTTTTTTATGATGATAGTTTGGCATGAGGTGATATGAAAAGAGAATTAAAGGTTGGAGAAACAATGTTGTGTTCTAGAGATTAATTGGACAAAATAAGTATGAGAGCTTTGTGTTATAGAATACTTATTATTGCGTTTGAAGAAGATGTGAGTGTAAGGACAGGGTTGCAAATGAACCCATACACTTTATATGCTACTTGTGATTTGGTTTAATTAAAGCTCATTTGTGATTATTTAATTAACTAATCTAACAAGCATGAATTCATTTTATAAATAATCAGTTGATAATTGAACTAGCTTGTTCACTTCTAATCATGAACAACTTTATGGTAGCTTGTGAACAAGCTTATTTAGAAGCTTGATTAAGGCTCAATAGTATGCTCATTTAAGACTCAATTACAAATTTCTTTAGGGGCATTTACATAAATACCACATAATTCTTATATTTTTATAAATCTAAAACCAAAAATTTTATATTTAAATACTCAATTTACTATGTGATACAAGGGAAATTAGTGTTGTAACTATCTACAATCAATTCCTGCGAAATCTACAATGACAACAGTTGGACATACCTATTAAATTGGTGAACCGACACATATTTCTTATGTTATGATTTTCTTTTCCATTTGTTCACTCTGTGTTTGCATTTGTTTTATCTCCCAATAGGTATTGGTTTTTTTTAATTGCACATATATTAATAATTTCTAAAAAACAATTATTATTTCTATTATGCATTGTGTTTTATCTTTTGGAGGTATGATATGTCATCATATATGTATCACTTTGTATCTATTTCAGGTCAGTGTTTATGCTGGATAGTTCATTATATGTTCAATCATTGATTCTTATTCTCCTCTTTACTTGATCTTCAATATTAATGATGTGATCTAAGAATCATCAATACTAAACATTTCCATCATGAAATCAAACTATTGAAGTTTTAATAATCATGATGCATTTAGGGGTTGTTTGTTTTGCTATATTATCAATATAATACATTTTTTTTGCATGGTTTTTCAAAAGGTTGGTTTTATTGAATGAAAAAAATACAGTGTAAAATTTTAATATATTTGTAACTCATTTTTTTGTTATGGTGAATTCAATATTCGGTTGATTTAGGTTTCATGTGGTTAAGCTTTTTCTGTTATAAAAATTTGTTTAAAAGGAGTTCTTTAAAACTGGTGTTTTAAAGTTGATGCTTTTCAAATTTTATAGACTCTTTAGATAAACTGTTTTTTTTTTTTTTGTGCTTTCCTGAACCAAAAAGCTCTTTTGTAATTAGTCAAGTTTGTCAATGTAGCTTTTTTTTAATAATTAATAAATCTCAATTATTATATTTATTTTTTTAAAAATGGGATGTATATACATACCACTAACTTCTTAACTATGCGTAGAATTGAAGAATGACAACACATAGCCACCCATATCGTGTGGAAATCATAAAATTTTCCATCCTGCTCATTTGGTTCTTATCACATTTGTCCCTATTTCAATTAAAAAAAAAATTAAATTATCATCACTATACTTCTCTCTAGATGCAGGTCACACAAGATTCTTCTAATCCCTTTCTTTCTCCGTTGCCTTCTCAATGCCTTGCTCTTCTCCAAGGGTTTGAACGACTTGTTTTGAGGGTATTTCGGACCTTTTGTTTTACAAAACAACAAAATGGAGGATGGAAGCGACTCTGAATTCACACTAAAAAAACGACCGTAAATGAATGTTTGATAGAAGCGCTTGTTGGAGAAGTTGTTTGGCCAAACAAACACTCTCCATTTTGTCGGCTTTATGTGCTAGTGAAGGGAGGCAAGAAGCCCTTCCAAATGAGCCCCTGATTTCCAAAATTGTTTCTACCCATTGCTATTGGCCTATCATGTCACTAATTGCTTCGTGTCGGGGACTGCTTGCTCCTGTCGTTGACGCCATAAACAATAGACGGCCACCGCACATCCATTGCCTTTACGATTGGGTTTTACACTTAATTTATTTTATTTCAAACCAAGCACAATAAAATAATCTCCTACATTTGTTTTATACCCAACCAAATAATTCTAACATATTTTAAATACACTATGGGCCTGTTTGGTTAGCTGAAAATGTGGTGTACTGTGTTTGGAATGCAAGAGATTCTAAATTTTGGTTCGGTTATCTCAAAAAGGAATTTAATGCAAAATTAAAGTGAATTTCAAATGCAACCGATAGTTCATTTTGAGTGTTTTTGAAATCATCGGATTAGGGTGATTTTCCAATACACTTCAAATGGTGATGGCTACCGCACTCTCTATAGTCACCATGACCACACATTGCACTGCCGCCATTGGTCACCGTAGCTCTTGCCCACCATAGCCCCTAGCCTTCCCTCATCGTCACTGGGACTAGCTGTCGCTGCCTAACCTGACAGCCATTTTAGTCTTAGCCTTCGTTGTCTGCCAATTGTCACCATTTTCGTTGGTTGCAGCTGCAACAGCCATTGCAGTCCACCAAGCATCGCCCGCCGTCACCACACCACTAATGAGCGAAGTTATGTTAAATTTATTTTTCTTCAAACCAAAAAGTAAAAGTTCGAAATAATCCATCGACTGTCAAAAAGTAATCAATTTTGTTCTGGAGTTTTAAAGTGTTTCATTTTAATCCCATACTACTGAAAATTAATCTAAATTAGTTTGGAGGCTGAATTTCATGGTTAAAGCTAACATAGACCATTAACTTTGCGAGTATTTAGAAATAAGAGTTTTAATGAAAAAAATATTTTTATTATTAGTCTATTTTTAAATGTAATAAATTAT